TTTCATTGGTAGAATATATAAAATTCGCTTCTACTCCTATTTGATTTTGTTTTAGGCTGTTCACATTTTTCTTTTCTTCTAATATTTAAGGATAAGGATTAAGTAAAATCTTCCCACTCCTTAATGCATTTACTATCTTAACATTTCATTTCGTGAGTTTTTTCTTAGATTCATGCAACTAGACTCCCCTTGCTGAAATCTTATTGTTGGGCTGTTCCCTAGATTTTCTATTGGCTGATTAAGTAGTTGTTCCTCTTCTCTCTTATTTCCAAGAGCCTATATAATTTTTTTTTGCTATAACATCATTTGTTTCATAATTTGTTGCATCATTTTACTCATTTTCTACATCATTTCTATAGCATCAGATTGAATTTGAGATGGTTGATGTTTCTGAAATCTATTTTCCTATTTTAGACGAAATTTAGAGTTTGAATTGGATCTAAATGCTTTTGGATTTTGAATATTATTTGGGTCTCTCCACAAAAAAAAATTCCTCTAATTAGGATTATAAGAATTAGAAAAAGGCTCTCTATTTCTATTAAAATTATGAACTACTTGTACTTGTTCTTGCATAGGGTGAAATGATTGATTTAAATTATATCATTAAAATTTAGAATAATCATTTTCACCATATATAGGACATATACTATTTGAATTAAATTGAGGGTTAAGAGGCTTTCTAATATTGTCAATAAGTAAATCAAGATTTTCTAATCTTGATTAATTTGATTAACCTCATTTCATAAATTAGAATCATTTTGATAATACAATTCATAAATTCCTTTCTTCTTATCCTTGTCATATAGTTCAAAAGAGGTTTGATCTTTAGAATTTTCACTTTAATTCTCATAAAGATTATAAATCTCATCAGAGATTTTCTTTATAAAAGTTCATCTATATATAAAATCAACCATATTTTTATGTTGTTCTAATAATCCATTATAAAAAAATTTATTGAGCTATCACTTGCGTATAGCATGATGAGGATAAGTAAATCTTTGAATTTTTTTCACATCTCATGAAAAGTTTTTCATGGTTTATGAGAAAAACTCTATATATGTTTTCTCATATTTTGAGTTTTTTTCTAAGAGATAAAAGTTTTGAAGAAATACTTGTTCTATGTCTTTCCATCTAGTTAATTCTTTAGCTAATATGGATAACCAATGACTAGCTTTGTCTCTATGTATGAAGAAATAATTTCATCTTAATAATTTTTGATGTAATTTGAGGGAGATTAACTAAATCACAGACCAGATATATTTTTTTTTAAATGGTGATGAGGTTCCTCTAAAGGCAATTCATGAAAATTAAAGAACATTTAAAAAATTATTAAATTTATTTTGAATTTAATAGTGGGTGCTAATGGGACTCTAATATTAGATACTTTTTGAAATGAATCAGAGATATAATGATTTTTCATGACCATAAGATTATTCTTAATTTGACCTTCACTTCTTTCATGATCTATCAAATTAATTTTTCTTTCGAATTTTTAGTTTTGAATGAAATAGTGAAAAGATTTTCTAACCTTAGATGCAAAGATCTTCTACCATGCATAAAAATCAATAAATTTGAAGAAAAAATTTAATAATTATTACCCTCCTTCAGTATGCTCTAGTCTTTACCTTGCTTCTCTTCATTTCTTTTTTTTTAAATTTTTTTGGCAAGAAGAAAATAGAACAAGAGTTAATTTTTTTATGTACTCTAAGAGAAAAATAGAAAAATACAAAATATTATGTAATACATCCCTAGCAACGGCACCAAAATTTGACGTGACTTAGTCATTATATAGTAAATCATGTAAATTTAAAATCAATAAAACTATAAAATACTAATTTTTAGCTATTTAGAAGTATTTCTGAACAAATATATCAATTATAATTTAATAAAAATATCAATAATAATAATAATTTCTAAGTCAATTACATGAATATAATATAACATTAGGTAATTCTTCAAAAGATTCCTCAAAGGAATCTTTTATATGAATTTTCTATGAATTTTATACTAAGAAATAAAAATAAAATAGATTTAAAATTTATGAAAAAAGGAAATAAGAGTGTGGATGTCAAGACAACATCAGCACCCGATGAAGATAAATTGGGCCCCTGTGATATTATATTACACCCCTCTGATCGACTTGAAAATTATTACTATTTTTAAAAGTTTTATTAAATTATAATTAATATATTTGTTCAAAAATACTTCTAAATATCTATAAATTAGTATTTTCTACTTTTATAATTTTTAAATTTGTGTGATTTACTATACAATGACTAAGTCACATTAATGGTCAGCATATTTCACTAAATGTATTTAAGGCAGCTAAATTTGTTAAGGAAGAAGATGAAGGAGAAGAGTAGAATGTAATTGATTGAATCATTGAGAAGGTATGTATGTTTGATACTTCTTTTGAAAATTTATCTTCTGGTTTGCAAGAAATATTTGAAAATTCTTCACATAAACCTATTGCTTTACCTTTGAATGCTCACAATAACTTAGACCTTAAACCTCTTCCGGATAACTTGGAATATACATTTTTAGGACCTAATGATACTATGCCTACTATTATTGCATCTCATTTAACTTCTTATGAAAAATCAAAATTACTTTATGTTTTAAAAGAATATAAGGGTGCATTAGGATGGCGTATGAGTGATTTAAAAGGTATTAGTCTTGATACATGCATGCATAATTTTTTTTGAATGAACATACAAAACCTACATGTGTCAAAGGTGACTAAATCTAAATATGATGAAAGTAGTTAATAATGAAATTATTAAATGGTTAGAGGCTAGTTTTATTTACCCTATTTTAGATAGCCAATGGGTTAGTCCTATTCAAGTTGTGCCAAAAAAATCAGGCCTAATCATATCAACTAATGAGCATGGTGAAGAAATAAAAACTAGATTGCCTACTAAATGGCAGGTATACATTGATTATAGGAAGTTGAATTTAGCCACTAAAAAAGATAATTTTCCTTTGCCTTTTATTGATCAAATTCTTAAAAATTTGGCTGAAAAAACATATTTTTGTTTTCTTGATGAATATTTAAGATATAATCAATGAGCGATCCACCCTAATGACCAAGAGAAGACTACTCTCACTTGTCTTTTTGGTACATTTGTATTTACAAGGATGCCTTTTAGATTATGTAATGCTCTAGCCACTTTCCAAAGATGCATGGTCTCTTTATTCTCTGATCTGCTAGGTGATTTTCTTGAAGTTTTCATGGATGACTTTTCTATTTTTGGATCTTCTTTTGATGAGTGTTTAGGACATCTCAAGAAAGTCTTGGCTAGATGTATAGAGTCCAAGCTTGTTCTAAGTTTGGAAAAGAGTCATTTCATGGTTGAAGAAGGAATTATTCTTGGACATGTGGTAAGTGAAAGAGGAATTGAGGTAGATAAAGCAAAGGTATGTATAATTCGAGATTTACCTCCTCCTACTACCCTAAAAGGACTAAGGTCATTTTTAGGACGTTGGATTTTATAGAAGATTTATTAAAGACTTCTCCAAGATTTCTAGGCCGTTGACTTCCCTCTTAGCCAAGGATAATGCATTTACTTTTTCCCATGAGTGTTTAGAAGCCTTCAACACCCATAAAAATATATTGATATAAGCACTAATTTTAAGATTTCCTACTTGGAGAGAACCTTTTGAAATTATGTGTGATGCTTCTAACCGTGCTATTGGTGCTGTTTTAGGGTAGAGAATTGAAGGAAAACCAGTGGTCATATATTATGCAAGTAAGACATTAGATGAGGCTCAATCTAACGATACTACCACTAAAAAATAGTTATTTGCCATTGTCTTTGCTTTAGACAAGTTTAGAGCTTATTTACTTGGATCTTAAATTATTATTTACACTGATCAGCCTTGAAATATCTTTTAGGAAAGCAAGATTACAAGCTTAGACTTATTAGATGGATCTTACTATTATAGGAGTTTTATCTTGAGATTAATGATAAATGAGGATTTGATAATGTAGTCATTGATCATCTTTCTAGGATTAATAGAAATGATAAAAAGGAGTTAAATGATTCTTTTCCTAATGAACATATTTTAAATATTAGTAGCATATATAATCCTCTTTGGTATGCACACGTCATCAATTACTTGGTAACAAGTCAAGTACCTAAAGGATGGTCTACTCATGAGAAAATCTTTTCTTTGCTAAAATAAAATATTTCTTATGGGATGAACCTTATTTCTTTAATTTAGGGCTTGATAACATTTTGGGAAGATGTGTTGCAGAGGAGGAACAAGGAAACATTCTTCACATATGCCATGCTTCACCAAGTAGAGGTCACTTCTCGCATAAGAAAACTGCAGCCAAGGTATTACAAAGTGGATTTTATTGGCCTTCATTATTTAAGGATTCATTTCAGTATGCTAAGAATTACTTAGAATGTCAAGCATCCACTAACATTTCAGCCAAAGACATGATGCCTTTACAACCCATCATAGTAGTATAAATCTTTGATGTTTGAGGGATAGACTTCATGGGTCCTTTTCCTTCTTCTTTTGGATATGAGTACATATTAGTGGCCATTGATTATGTTTCCAAGTGGACTGAAGCAATACCTACTAAGACTTGTGACCATAAGGTTGTCTTAAAGTTTTTGAAGAGTAATATTTTCTCTAGATTTGGGTGTCCTAGGACTATCATTAGTGACAATGGTACCCATTTCATTAATTCTCAATTCAAAGCATTGTTGAGGAATAACAGAGTCACCCACAAGATCTCTACACGTTATCCTCCACAGTCCAACGGTCAAGTAGAGGTGTCTAATAGAGAAATCAAGAGGATACTTTAAAAGATCATTAGAGCCGATAGGAAAGATTGGTCTCAAAAATTAGAAGATGCACTTTGGGCCTATAGGACAGCTTATAAGTCTCCCTTAGGAATGTCACCCTATAGGTTAATCTTTGGTAAAGCTTGTCACCTTCTTGTTGAGATTGAACATAAAGCATATTGGGCCATAAAGCAATTGAATATGGACATAGATGAGGCAGGCAAAACAAGACTTCTCCAAATGAGTGAACTTGAGGAACTAAGGAATGAAGCATATATAAGTTCAAGAATCTATAAGGAGAAGATGAAGGCTTATCATGATAAGCACATTAGGAGGAAGAACTTCATTCAAGGTCAAAAGGTACGACTTTTTAATTCAAGACTTAGATTATCTCTTGGAAAACTAAATCTAGATGGAATGGGTCATACATTGTTTTACATGTTTTAGATAATGGAGCGATTAAACTTTTTGATCCCAAAAATGATAGATCTTTTATTGTGAATGGTCAACATTTGAAACTCTATCTTGAACATGATCCTCAACCATCTAAAGAGTCTTTGCTCCTTACTAACCCATGAGTTTACATGAGTCTAGCTAAAGACATTAAACAAAGCACTCTTGGGAGGTACCCCAAACCTTAAATAGATATCCCTTTGTTTTGTTTGTTTTTGTGATCTCTTCTTTTTTTCTTCCTATTTTCAATCAAGTATAGAGGAGAAGAAATGAAGAAAATAGTGAAAGGAGAAGCCCAACAATACCACAACATCAAAACAACTCAAAACAATTCAGGTTATATCCTTCCCCTTGAGCTATGTTTTCATACATGAGCATGTAGTATGCTTGCCATTAAGGCCAATGGCATTTAAGTGAAGGGATCACCTAAATTACATGAAATTTGGTAAATTTTCAACTTTAAAGCATGCAGATTGCAGCATATTTAATGCAACACCCTAATATATTATCCTTTTCCAATGCCATCATTCTTTGGGTCCATCTTGGATGAGTATGAGAGGATGATTATGATTTAGGAGGGGGAGAAAAACTGAAATCTTGTCCACTTGCTGTCCTCAGCATTAAAGTTCTCCATTGTCCTCTTAAGGCTAGGTTCCCTAGTTCCACCTACTTGTGTCTCCTACTAGGGAGAGCTATTCTTCTCCAATCCCTTTGGTTTATTTAGAGTCCTTCTTCCCAGCCAAGTAACCTTGAAGTATATTATAAGTCCTTGGTAGCTAGCAAAAGTATGAAGCTCCTAGAAAATCAAAGTAAAAAAAAAAAAGGTTATATAATGGAGCAAGGGTTAGAGTGGGGTAACAAAAGAAAAAAAAAGAAGAAGCTCAAAGTCAAAGTTAAAGTCAAAGTTTACAAGTGTTGTGATTTAAAATCTGCATCTTAACCTCCTTAAGGCAAAAAGGCAATGTATGTAAAGCTTAAAGTCTGCCTACCCCAACCTTAGTGGCAATTGAGGCTTCAAGTAATTTTCAACAGAAAGGGGGGATAGAAGGTTAATAGATACTCTTGAGGGACTTGGAGGAGTTGCCCTACTAAGATTTCGCATAGTATTTGGATGAGAACTGATGACTTAATGATGTGGAGGACCTACCATGATTTTGAGAGCACTTAGACAAGCACTTGGTGCATATTCCCCACTGGCCATAGGATTGTAAACTCATGCTGAGGTGTATTCATAACTTGATGGATGGCATATTTATTTTTAATGTTGTGATCAGTCCTAGCCTATATTTTTCTATATATTCATTGCTAAGAGACTAGCAATACTATAGAAGGGGGATGTGATAAATATTTATTTATCACTAAAATTTAATTAATCTTCTCTTCAAATTTTGCATTAATGAATCATAATAAGTATGAATTCCAATATCTTTTCATATTAGAGGAAAAGTCAAAAGATATGTATAAATGACTTTAAATAGCTATATCTAATTCATGTAATTTATGGATTTAATTATTAACCTTTTCTAACTTTTTTCCAAGGTTTATCACCTTAAGAATGTGTGTAAATTTATCAGGAATAGGGATTTAAAATTTTGAAATTTTATTCCAAGTAGATTTATTTCCATGAAATTACTAGAGTGAGAAGAATCAACATGGAATGTTAGAGCTCAAAGAGCCCAAACATGAGAAAAGGCTGATTGGGGCATAAAAAAATTAAACAGCACCCAAAATATTGGGCTAAATCAGACCACACAAAGTATGGAGAAAAAAGGCCCAAATGGACATGAGTATATAAACCAAATGGGCAAAAATGAAAGGGGATCTTTTTTTGTGCTCAAATAGGAGGTGGTATACAATAGAGACCATAGGATTGCAAGGACGAGCTCTCCACCTTTTCCTCTCTTTTCTTAACGCCTTAGACCCCCTTTTATTTTGTAGATTACAAGTATCATTTTATAGATGGCATTTTATTAAATTTTTAACAGATTATTCTTCTCTATCCCTGACTTCTCATGCCTTGATGGTGACACCAAGGTAGAAGAAGGGAAATCTGTATCAACTTGTGAAATTTCTTTTAGGGATTGGCTTTGGGATTTTCCTGCACAGATTTTTATAACCTTTTTCAGATACCTTACTTTTTACAAATCCAATGAGTGCTTAATCTCTTCAAACGATCATGTTTTGATGATTTGGGGATAGAATCATCAAGCATATCGTCAAAAATCATATTCTAGGTAGCAAATGATATATGTATCCAATCATGTAGTTTCTTTTAGTTTTATGATTTTTCCCAGATACCTTAATTTAAAAAAAAATCTAATGAATGTTTTATCTCCTCAAACAATTATGTTTTGGTGATTTGGTGACAAAATCATCAGCACATCATCAGAAATTATTTTATGGGTTTCATATTTTGACCTTTCCTTGGATCCAATTTGATTTCACAAGTTTCAAGTATAATTAGGTCATGATATTTTGGAAAAACGTAGCATAGTCAGTTATTATCGTATATAATTTTTTCATGATTTTATCAAATTTTAAAATAAGTCTTTAGATTTTACAAATATTATTTCCTGAAATTTCTGTATTTTCGACCCTTCCTTAGAACGTATTCGATTTCACAAGTCCCACATGGAATTAGTTTAATGTCTTCTGGGAAAGCATAGTACAGTTAGTTTCTTACCTTCTGTAATTTTTTCGTGATTTTAGAATAAGTTCGTTTAGGTTTCCAGATTTTATCATTACTACTTTCTCTATTTTCTGTTATATCCTCGATTTCCAATTGTTGACCTCTAGTAATATTATTGTTAAGAGAATGACATACTGAATTATGCAATAGCTTTTAAATATATTAAATTAGAGTTAGTTATCTATATATTCTAAGATTTTCTTAGCTTCTATAGTTGGATAATGATGTTTTCAACTTTCTAATTTCCTTGCAGATCGACCTGAAATTCCTATAATTAAAGAGAACTTATTTTGGTTTTTAGTTAAAAATATTAAATTTGAGTTTAAACTAATGATAATTTTGGGCATATCACCTACCTGGCGCTAGATGTTGTCCAAGATGTGGGCAATCGACCCCAATTATTGAGAGACTGAATCTAGTCTCTAACATATGTTTGCTTGTTCCACGCATATGGCTTGGAGCTGTTTGATGTGGGCTGTCAGTTCATTGCTGGTGAGGAGCTGGAATGCCTCCAGCTCTTTCTCGAGAGAGTCAAGCTTGGGATGAAAAGGTTTGGTCCCCACAGAACATGGCTGGCTCTTATACCAATTGGTGAGCCCCTTTTTGTGAGAAGTTAAAATACGGACAAGTTTAATAGATAAACCTGTCTTGTACAAAACCCTAGATGTCCTGGGCCCCAGATAACTCTGTCAGGAAGCTGAGAACGGCTGAGAGCGACGCGAGAGAGAGAGAGAGAGAGAGAGAGAGAGAGAGAGAGAGAGAGAGAGAGAGAGAGAGAGAAAGGACGATAATTGTCGAGGGATTCCGTGAATAGAGATAAAGAGAGAGGATAATAACCAAGACCTCTCGGGTCTTGGGATAGTCGTTTTGAGAAGGCTATTCTCCACTCCGTAAAGAGTCTTTGTGAGGTTCTCCCGACCTCCCTTTCTTGTGGCTGCTTGGCCTCTCTTTATAGCCGAAGTCCTCTAGCGTCGGCCACCACCTTCTGTCTCCTCCGCTTGGGTCTGACGGAACCTGGGTGTCGTGCTCTGTCTCTGTCGGGTCTGCCATGGTTCCCTGCCGAACTTCATCTGCTGCACACGTTTCCTATTATGCAGAATCCCACATGCGGTTATCACCTTTAGTGTCTAAATGTTGTCTATCCTGCTCTGATCCTGGGTTGGGCCGACGTCTTCGAGACCCTTTTCCCTTTTGGCCCATTTGAGATGTTAGGGTCTCAACACAGTTATGGATTTTGCAACGAAATTCACATGCATCGTCTCGGATTTATGCAATTTGGGTGAAATCTTGGAAGAAAGAGAGGTAGTGCAGCGATTTCTTTGAGCTATGCTTGTGAAATTCAACACACTAAGGACCCTCTCTATGGAGCAATACACTGATTTAGACAAGATCAGTCTAGATGAGTTCATTGGCTCTCTCAGCGTGCACGATCTGCAGCTCAAGGAGCGGGAGTCACGGGAGTGGAGCAGGCTTTGCTAGCTTGAGCGCTAAGCAAAGCCAAAGTCTCGAGTGAGGAGTCCTCATCTCGAGGAAGAGGGTGACATTGCGACTGTAGTAGGGGAAGAGGCAGAGGCTGTGGCCACGGTCGGCATCCACCTCCTGACGAGGTGAAGACGCATTTTGACAAATCACAAATTCAGTATTATAATTGTGAAAAATGCAGGCATTTTGCATACAAGGGCCAAAGTGCGAAAAAGGTGAAGGAAGAAAAGACTAATGTGTCTGATTCTTTTGCTCTGACGATGGAATCTTCCCTTCTAATGGCTGTAGTGGAAGAACGCAGTGAATTACTGTTTCAAGGGTCTGAGGGTGTGCTCTCCGATCCAACTCTTTGGTATCTTGACACTAGAGCAACGAACCACATGTCCGGCTACAAAAATTTCTTCAGCAACCTCAACGAATCTGCGTCAGGATTTGTTAAACTTGGAGATAATTCAAGGATTTAAATTGAAGGCGGAGGTGGCATTCAGGTGCATGAGAAGATTGGTGGAATTCTTTGGCTCCCTAATGTCTTATTTGTCCCTCAATTAGTGAGCAACATCGTCAGTCTTGGTCGATTAGATGAAGTGGGCTGCTGTGTGACGATGTTTAGAGGTAAGTTCACTATTTTTTATAGTAACAGTCATCTATTTGTTGAAGTGCAGAGGTCTGAGGGATGATGATGAAGTTAAACGTGGTGGGTCAGTGCTTCCTCACCACTAAAGAAAATTCTGAGAATTGGCTGTGGCATTCTCAGTTTGGACATATCAGCTTCCACTCCTTAAAAGAGATGTCCAGCAAGCATCTTGTAGAAGGACTTTCTCTGATTAATGTACCTAGTCAACTCTACCGAAATTGCATTGCTGGGAAGCAACACCAGATGCCTTTTCCTCAAACATCCTTATTTCAAGCATCTGAGCCTCTTGAGCTCATTTATGCTGAATTAATTTCTCCACCCTGCTTAGGAGGAAGCAGGTATTTCCTCTTAATCATCGATGATTATTCTCGGCTAACGTGGGTGGCTATGTTGAAGTAAAAGTCTGATGAATTTGAAGCCTTTAAGCACTTTAAGACTTTGGTAGAGATAGAGAAGGGAATGAACTTTTGTGTCTCATACGGCATTAAGAGGCAGTTGACCACACCCTACTCACCTCAGCATAACATGGTGGTGAAGAGAAAGAATCAAACTGTCATGTCGATGGTCTGAGCTATGTTGAAGGTGAAGAAACTTCCTCGAGAACTCTGGGGAGAAGTGATAAACACAACCATTTATGTCCTTAATCGCTCATTACTTCCAGTTTGCAAGGTTAAACTCCTTATGAGCGATGGACTAGAAAAAAGCCAAGCATTAACCACCTACGTGTATTTGGGTCAATTGTCCACGTTAAATGCATCAGGGGCCCACTAAGCAAGTTGGATGATTAGAGTCAACCCATGGTCTTCATTGGATATGAAGTTGGGTCTAAGGTGTATAGATGCTTTGACCCGGTCACTAGCAAGGTCCACATCAGCTGTGATGTCATTTTTGAAGAAAATGACGTGGACATGGATAAAGCAAGGTGAAAACTCATCCTCTTATACCTTTCTTCTTGATTTTCTGCAAATTGAATCTTCGAAGAGGGCTTGAACGATGCAATTGATGAAGTCAAGACCTCAGCTCCTCGGGAAGTGATCTTAGACTCTTAGAGAGACTCTGAAGAAAGTCAACCCCATAAGTACAAATCCATGACAGAACTGTACTCGGAGATGACTTCAAACTCACCTAAAGATCAAGCTTGTATGCTCACTAGTGAAGAACCATATTCCCACACTGAAGCTTCCCGAGGAAAAGTGTGGAGAAGAGCCATGAAAGAGGAGATGTTGGCTATTGACCGAAATCAAACCAAGAAGCTGGTGACTCCACCACCTAATTACAAGCTAATTGGGCTTAAATGGACCATCAAAATGAAGGAAAATTCACAAGGAGAAATCATCAGACATAAAGCTCAATTGGTGATTAAGGGGTACTTGCAAAGATAAGGGGTTGACTACGAGGAGGTCTTTGCCCCTGTGGTCCGATTTAAGTCCATAAGAGCTCTAATTGTCTTAGCAGCTCTGAGAGGATAGACTATTCATCATCTTGACGTCAAATCAACATTCTTGAATGGAGACATTGAAGAACATATTTATGTGAAGATAGTTTGACGGTTTCACTGTCGAGGGTAGAGAAGGCTCTATCGTATGATTGATGGTCTTGTATGGCCTGAAGCAAGCACCAAGAGCGTGGTACTTCAAGCTCCATGAATGTTTGACCTCTCTCAAATTTGAGAAGAGTAATCATGAACATGCACTTTACCTCAAGTGGACATGAATGAAGTCACAATTGTTGGAGTTAATATTGATGATTTAATCATCACATGCTCCAGGTCTGATTGCATAAAAGATTTCAAGACAAAGATGAAGACCAAGTTTGAAATGAGTGATCTTGGATCACTGAGCTTATATCTATGACTCAAGGTCAAATAGGACAAAGATTTCATATTTCTGACTCAAAAATCTTATGCGTTGAAGATCTTAGAACATGCAAAGATGGGAGACTTCACCCATCTTTGAAGCAAACATGAGGGTGAATTCGATGTAATTTAGGAGTCTCATTGGGAGTCTGAGATACCTGACTCACATGAGACCCGTCCTACTCTACTCAGTGGGTGTTTTGAGCAGGTTCATGGAGAATCTAGCCTCGAAGCACCTCAGTGGAGTCAAAAGAGTCCTCAGATACATCAAGGGCAATGTTGATTATGGCCTCTTCTACAAGAAAGGAGGTTTGAATTCTGAACTCATGGGTGTGATAGTGACTTCGCAGGGGATGTTGACAACTAGAAGAATACCTTTGGCCACATCTATTTCCTCGGAGAGATGGCCATCAGTTGGTCATCGTGTGAAGCCGAGTATATTGCAGCAACGGCAGCAGCTTGTCAGGGCATGTGGATGAACCGCCTGATTAACGAAATGAAAAAGAAGGAGCCGAAAGTAGTAAAATTGATGGTGGACAATTAATCGGCTATCACTTTAAGCAAGAACCCAGTCCACCACAACCGCACAAAGCACATTGACACCAAATACCACTTCATTCATCAATGTGTTGAAGACAAGAAGATCGAGATCCTCTACATCCAGACAGAGGATTAGTTGGCCGATATTCTCACTAAAGCTCTTGGAAAACAGAAATTTCAAGAGATGCGAGGTCGTCTTGGTGTTAGAAGTCTTCACATGGAGGAGCTAGAGCAAGGAGGAGATTGAAGGGATTGTTCCAGCCTCGCCGGAGGAACACCATCTCCGACGGACTTCCACTACAGCGATTTGGGAATTTCTATTTTCAGGTCGTTAGTTTCTTTTGCAGATTTAATCGGAGCCGTTCATCACTTGGAGTTATAATGGCGCACAAGCAGCCATGTCAGACTTGGAGCCAACTCATTTTGGAGGCTGTTAAAGATTCTCTCCTTCATTCATTAGTTTTATATAAATACCCCTCTAAGTGTTCGATGAAACGTGCTATGACCATTTCTCTTTGATCCAATTCTATTCTGTGCATTTTCGTTCTTGAGTTCCGTTTCTTTTTGGAAGTTCTTGGGAGAATTTCTGGCTTTGCCAAGCCAACACTTAACTTTTGCCCGAGAAAAGCCCGGAAGAAAGAGACCACACCGAAATCCGATGAGTTCTCCAGACTTGATCAAGATCTTTATTTTCTATGTTAAGATTGGAAAATAGGCTGTAGGACTATAATAATCTCCGCTATAGATCGAGTGCAGACTTCATCGGAGAGGCCCGGACGAAGGTGGGGCAACTCTCCGGACCCTGCATTTCCCATTTTAAAAGAGACACGTAACACATCTATACTCTGTTCGCATTAGCCCACGTCGGCTGGGAGGGGAGATGAGGCTAGAGAATAGACGACAGACGATCTAATGGGGGTGGATGACGTTTTCTCAGGTCCACATTGACACAAATGTGGGCCACTTTAAATCCGATAATTCTACCCACTGAGCGCATTCAGAGTAACTCAAACCGGAAGCTGCCTATAAATATGGGCCCAGACATTGAGCTCTACGCACCACCAGAGCGCGAGTAATCATCAATCACTTAAACGCCCGTCTTTAGGCTCCTTGCCTTTGAGACCTTCCTCTACCCTATCCGACGATGGCTGTGGGCCACACTCCTCCGCCCACGCCGCCGCAGCCCACGCCGCCGCAGCGGCGGCGATCCTAGTGATCTTGTCTTCCGTGGTGACCCCAGCAGCGGCGAGCTACATGACGGCATGGGAGGGGCCAGGGTGTAACAACCACGCGGAGCGGTATGGAGGTTGCGGCTGCTCCGCCACTAGGGGCTATAAGTTCGTCTACCAGGGCCAGACGACCGCCCTCTACGATCAGGCCGGCTGCGTTGGGGTCCCGCAATCCCGATTCGATGGCAGCACGGAGGCTGCTTTCCTTTCGGATGGCAGAGCACCTTTATCTAGTGCTAAGAATTCCTGTTGTTCGGGCTCTTTGTGCCAGTAACTTACTGAAGTAAGCGTCTTGTTGTTAATAAGATGAAACCAAGTAAGCCTAGTGTACTCGTGGGATGGCAGAAAACCCAACGAGGAGACGCGTGAGCAACCTACTTCACGGCTGATGTGATGTCAGTAACTTCGTGAGTTGTATTCTGCTTATGTTAATCAGTATATCATTGTCTGCTTTGTTGTTAATCTGTGCTCTCGTCTCTCTTCTTTGTTGTTCATCTGTGCTATATTTGGACCTACGGCTATCATTACTAAGAAGCTTTGGGAAGCTCTTCGATGGGTAACCTGGGTCCCAATCGAGACCAAAGTCTCAAACTTTTCGCACTGCTGATTTTCATGCATAGGTAACTTTGATGTCTGAGATTGGGAAGAAAATGGTCAGATATAAGTTCTAGGGTTACCTCGTTAATTGACGCACCTAAATTTTATGGTATCCTTGATCCTTCGGGCCTAAAATTTCGTGGGGACTGATATATATTCGGAGATCAAATTGCATGAGGATCTAATTTTGAAGCCAACAACCAACAAAAATGGCACGGTTTAAAGTATGGGGTCTCCCATTTCATTGTCTCTTTAAATTTTTCGTTTATGAGGGGAAAGTTACCGTCTACGTATAATTTTATTTATTTCACCTCATCATGACCTGGGTGAATGACCGTATTAAAAGAGTGCGTAGAGGATGTGTCGTCATCTGGTAGTGGGCCTGAACGAGGTGAAAACCCAGTCCTCACAAAAGCAGGACCATCAAATCAAACACTGAGTTGATGGAGGCACGTAGCATACTGATCAGATCTGCCATATCCCCCGATCTCGTTTCAAGAAAACTAAAAAAGTGTGTACATGAATATTTGTAGCATATACTGATTTTGTTCGTCAACAGTGCCAGATGAACAACGGTTCGTGACAATGGCTAGGAACTCTGGGTATCGGGTCGTGACTCCAAGCATTATTAATCTTATTATAGCCATCACGATACGTCACTGCACTCTACAAAGTGAAACGATGTCAACATTGGTGGTGTAGAATTTCCTCTAAAAAATTATATATGGGTGTGTTTTTTTGCTCTAAACCATGATCGGCCAATTCTTTTCACTCTGATGGTAATTTGAGGCTGCACCCCTCTTAAATAGGGATGTGCACGATACATATGCGAAGGACTGCTCCTATCTTGCAGTTGATTTGACATTATCTATATGTGAAACAATGAATATAAATTAATCATCCAATACATGAGTAAAAATGTGGTTCATGAGAAAAACCTTGTTAAGTATTCACCCATGAATATGGCTTTTACAAGGCCTGGAATTCATTCATGTCGATGCACAGTGACAGCACAAGTGCTGCAATGAGTCTTATTTCGGCTTGAGCTTTGTGATAGAGTTGTTAGTGTTTAATGGCTAGGTGCCCTCGAATCCAAGTTATTATAAAGCGCTATTATATGGTCGGCATCTTTCTCTACTGGCAAAATGTATCAAGTCGAATCTCATGTAAGGGCCTGGAGTTAGTGAAGAAAGTCGTTGCCAATCAGAAGCGAGCGTGCTTCCTTGTGGAGGAGAGAGGGACTCGGTGCAATATAGATCCCAATAATTCTAGTGAGTAAACGTTATTCTCTCATGTTGGAGTTCGTCTTATAAGATTCATATTCGCTTTAATGTGTTCTTTTCTCTCTTGTTTTTCATTGTCCATTAATTGCGAGTGATTTCCAATGTGTGATCCATGGGTGACCTTTTCTTTTACATCTTGATTATGAGAAACGTATGGAAAAAGGTTAATTCTTAGATTCTAGAAGATTTCCCCAAGGACATGTATTGCGAGAATCAATAGGTCAAGTACAAGAATCGACAAACTCAAGTATGGAGAATGTCCCAACAGGCGACAAGACCAATTAAGGATGACAAAGAGGTGGAGGAAAATGAACGGCGTTTCAAGCTTTCATGTCAAACGTTAAATAAGATTATACTGTCGCTTCATCGATTCCTTGATGTCTATGACCAGCCGTAATTTTCGCTGTAGACTTACAATTTATTCTCAAGGTCACACCTTCTAATCTTGATTTGAGCGTATCCGGATCACGAGACCTTACATTTCCCGGGAAAATCGTCATTAAAAAAAACACAGATCACCTCATTATAATATCTACTCGACATGTTATTGATCTAAATCACGAAAGAGCCCACGGGGACTGAGGGAACAAATAAGAAGGCACTAGAAGAGTAAGACGCTAACGACAACGGAACAGACTCAACGGGTTGCATCAAATCAGATATTTATCCGAGTCATCATCAGGTGTTTTACGTATTTTTATGAACATTATTTCTACAAAGAGAAACAAGTCTCTCTCTCCCTCTCTTTCTCATAATTGATCGAAAAAGATGGGGTACCACCCAGATCTGTCTCTACACTGGAAGCACTAAATACCCGTATCAACAAACGTCAAACTAGAGTAATACATGACAACGAGAGAACAGCAAAGCATCATAGTAGTCATCAATATACGTGGATAGTCTAACAAGGGAAAAACCACAAAATGAATCCTACTTCCTACGAAAGAAGTACCAAGTTTTCTTCTCTATCCAAGCCTCACTGAGATTATAGTTTGTATACATGGTCTAAGGACAAGAATGCTTCCCATCAATCGGAGAAAAGACAAACCCGTCCTCAATTTGTGACAGTTACCCCCTAACCCCTACTGAGGGCACTAACTCCATGCATCCGCCGAGAGCTGTTCGTTGAGCTAAACACAAAAATGTACTCATCAACATGAAGAATACACCAGCCACTGTTTTTCTACAAAATGGGTCCAGAAGTGCAAAGGCCTTCTCATCAGGCCCAGACAAACCAATCCAGTCGTCTCTAAGCTCCTCACCGCTCCCATGCCCCAAACTTCCTCCACCTCCGACAACAGCCACCACCATAGTACTTGCAGTCCTGGTGCTCCTGCTCAGCGCCGACACCTTGGTGATGCCAAGCACCATGAACGAGCGGCTCCTGTTCCCACATGATCATGTAGGAAGGTCCCTGTCGCCGCAACCCGGCCCAACGCGGTATGAACCTCTGCTGCTCCGCCGTCATTCTTTACGGCGCGTAGCCGCTCGTTTATGGTGGTCTGGAAGTTGCTCTCTACAACCAGCCGGGCTGCAGGGGAGCAGTGCGCGGCCGGTTGGGAAGTACTCCCCCGGGAGGACGAGAATCTTGATGCGAAGCCAGTCCGTTCTCCCGCAAATCTGTTTCAACATTTGAATGCTTCCGCCGTCAAAATCTATAGATAAACATCTAGAAGACAACATGGAATTGACTCATTTCATGCGACTTGGTCTGAGCAATAGAGTGGGATATTTTCAGTGCATGTTGATAGGTATGGAGTGGGTACTTCTCAGTTCATTTGTTTTCGTTCGATAGAACAGGCCATCAGTTTGGAATAAGACATGATAAGAGTCGACGAGAGCATAGATCAATTTGAAGATGAGTTTCGTGAGTTGATCGACTTCAATTCTATGAGCTCTTTATCCAAAGTGTTTAATTTTTCTAAATGGACCATGAGATGCCACATATTCTACCTCTCTCTCTCCCCCCCCCCCCCCCGCCCCCCAAACCCCCGACTATGATTACCGAGACTATGTTGTGCTGAGCTAGAATAATTTTTTGGAAAATTATTGATTGTTTTCAGTGTAATTTTTCTTTCGTGAAGTCACAATGTGGAACACGATCTCTAAATGTCTGAAAAAAACATTTTTCAAAATAATTAACTAATTTATTTTCAGAATTATTAATTTATTCTCTAAAATTCAGCATATTATCAAACATATTAATTTTATATACCTCAATGACAGCGTATACATTGATTGGAATATTTTTTTAATAAATAAATGTATTTAATTTACTAATGACATGATAATGTTGCCTTTAGACAAATCAAACAAAATCTCCTAAAGACAAATCAAATCAAACATAATATTTTAAAGAATATTTCCCTGAACCTGGGAGGATTAAATCGTGTTCTAGAAAAATTTTAAGGGCAGGGCGGAAGTGAAAGGACGAACACGTATTCCCAAATCGTGGTTTATTGGCACCTATGCACAAAGATAAAATTCCAGAGGTGTCACATCCTAAAAGGGGTTAGGATAAGCTGACGATCTAACGTCAAAGTATAGCGCTTTGACTTAAGAGCATGACGCCAGTGTTGGCACGTTCCACTTTACATTTCTCTCCGCCAAGCGAAGAAAACGAGAAACGTATCCCTAAATCGAGTTGAATGAGCTGGAGGTTTAATGGTGGAGCACGGCTCATTGACTTAGGTACACGATGATGCAAATGAGGGGAGTGAATAAAAGCCAAATTTTCTCACTTTCTACAGCGTGGAAATATATAAACTCTGAGTTGAGTAATTTGTTGTGACTTTTGCTCAGTAACTTAAACACATAGGATACGTACTTGGGATGCGTCGGTGCTCTGGCGGATGATGGTGGGTTTGACTCAGGGTCACGAGGACGCAAATCTCAACAGGTCTTTCTGCCATGTAAAAAAGTCATCGTGTCTTAGGGACGCGGTTTATATGGACTTCAACATGTAGGGGGTGTGGCGCGACGAGCTGATGATGGAAATGAAGCTCTAACGGCTGATGATGACGCAAATGTGGAACACATCAAACCCGATAACTCGGGCCGTAGAAGGTAAAAGCCGCCTATATATAGTACCGTCGCATTAGCCTATGTGCACATCGCGAGTCATCAGCAATCGGTTCTTCAACGTTCGCTTTTGGGGTCATTGCCGCCAGCACCGTCCTCCGCCCTCTCAGGTGATGGCAACGACCACTGCCCCCCCCCCCTCACGATCGTCATGCTTCTGGCCACCATGGCACCCTAGCAACAGCGAGCTACTTGACGGTGTGGGTGGGACCAGGTTATAACAACCACGACGAGCAGTATAACGCCTGCGGCTGCCCCACCATCAATCTTCCC